ATAAGTAACTAAGACCTAGAATTAAATTCAGGCAAAACTTAACAGCATTGTCTTGGTTAAATACTGATTAAAAGAGCTCAGAGTTGCATTAGAAATGCTGCAGTACGTAGAGATACAGGATTCCTAGAATAGGGCTGACATCCTTCATCATTACTGAAAAGAGTTTTAATTCATGCATGCTTGCTGCTACATTGAAACAAGCAACTTTATTCCCAGAATGCTGTGGAATCAGCTATCAAATAACAGGAGTTCTTTCTAAGGTATGCAATAAATGAAGGACAAGGTGAGTGATAACTATCCAAGGTCAGTTGTCACTAGAGAAGCCATCAAATGTGATTTGAGCATGCTCCAGAAACCAAATGCCAATTTGGAAGTAGAGCAATAGCATCTGTATGAAGCACTTATGTGCCACTGCAGTAGCAAAAGGGAAGGACTGTCTCTTGTTAAAGGGCTGCTTCTTGTTAAAACACCTGAAGTATTACTCAATATAGCAAAATTCAAAGTCTACTTTAGAAAAAATGTTATACCTACAGGAGATTGTCTTCAAAGAACAGCAGTAACACAGACTGGTCTTATAGGGATAAACCACTATACACAGACTTTCAGTGGTGCACTGTAACAAAAGCTGAATTCAGTCCTCAACTCCATGGAGTAGATGGATGATTTCCCAGAAGGCAAAGCAATTTTAATAACATCAGGAGGCTCTAGGTTTCCTTCATTCCCATACAGCCTTTCCAGAACTACAGCTAACTTTTTTGCAATTTCTCACCATATACAACTGAGTCATGTCAATACACATTCATACTTGACACACTACCCACATAACTATCAAGGTCATGATGTGTAACTGAGGCTTCTTCCCCCAGAGCTGGTTATCATTTCAGTCAGTCAGCAACCACAGAACTGCACACCCTCTGTTCTCTTGCTCAAGCATACTGATAATTTCCCTGGCATGTGGGGACTGAGGGAACTGGTAGATGAAGCTGCTATCCATCATATTTGAGAAGTCAGGGTAGTCAGGTTTAGCTCCCATTGACTGGAAAAGGGGAAATGTAATCCCATTTTTAAAAACAAAAAGAAAAAAGGAAGGTCCAAGGAACTACAGGCTGGTCAGTGTCACCTTGGTGCCTGGCAAGAAGATGGAACAAATCCTCCTGGAATCTTGTGCTAAAGCACATGGGAAATAAAGACAGAATGGGTGACAGCCAGCACAGCCTCACTAAGGGCAAATCATGCTTGACCAATCTGGTGGCTTTCCACAATGGGGTTACAGCATTGGTGGGTGAAGGAAGAGTGACAGACATCACTTACCTTGACCTGTGCAAAGTATTTGACACTGTCCCGCATGACATCTTTGTCTCTAAACTGGAGAGACCTGGATTTGACAGATGGCCCACAGGGTGGATAAGGAATTGGCTGGATGGACACACTCAGAGTTGCAGTCAATGGCTCAATGTCCAAGGGGAAACCATTGAAGAGAGGCATCCTCAGGGCTCGGGACTGGGACCAGGAATGTTTAACAGCTTTGTCAGTGACACAGACACTGGGATCAAGGGCACCCTCAGCAAGTTTGCCAGTCACCAAGCTGTGTGGTGGACACACTGGAGGGAAGGGATGTCATCCAGAGGGACCCTGGCAGGTTTGTGAGGTGGGACTGTGCAGACCTCATGAAGTTCAACAAGGCCATGTGCAAGGTCCTGCATCTGGGTGAGCACAATCACAAAAATACAAGCTGGGCTGTGAATGGACTGAGAGCAGCCCTGAGGAGGACTTAGATGTTTTGGTCAATGAGAAGCCCAACCTGAGCTGGCAATGTGCACTCACAACCCAGAACAACCATGTACTGGGGTGCATCAAGAGAAGTGTGATCAGCAGGTCATGGAAGGTGATTCTTGCTCTCCACCCAGCTCCTGTGAACCCACCTCAAGCACTGCATCTGTCAAGACCTGCAGGAGTGAGTCTAGAGCAGCTGCAGATATCACATCCCTGGTAATGCTAAAGCTCCATCCAACCTGGCCTTGGAGCAACCTGGACTAGTGGAAGGTGCTCCTGCCCAGGGCAGAGGAGTTGAAACTAGATGATCCCCAAAGTCCCTGCCAATCGCAACCACTCCATGGTTCTTTGCAATCAGAAAAGGCTCAGAGCAATACCTTTTTCATGAAAGTTCTAACAGCCTCTGTGCAAACACAGACAGCAGCCCCTCTTCCACCTGACATCCAGTATTACAAACTTTGCTTAGAAAAAGGAGTATTAAGTCTCACAGGTTGTTACAAGTGTTAACACTTAATGCATACTTTGCTCCTCTTTTGCTTTAAGTGGAAAACAAGAGTTAAGCTAACATGGAAAAATATGACCTGAATGAAAATTCTTCTTGAGATAATTCTAAATCTGAATTGGTTTTGTTAAATACAAAGTTAATACTGTTTTTAGGGGAACTAACTCTTCAAACCTTGCATTATTCGTCTTTCCCTTAATATTTCTCAATTCCCATGGGAAACAGCTCACCTCCAAGTCAGCAAGCAGACATTCTGCTTGGGGCTTGCTCACATTAAAGAAAGTTCACAAGTAAAATTCCATTCAACAGATTTTATTTATCAATTTGGTTTTGTGATTACAACTTCTTCAGTTTTCTTCCACTGAAGATAAATACAAACTTTAACAGCAACACTTGCAGAGAACATTCGTAAGGTAACAGCTTGGTATTTGCACAAGTTGGCTTCAAGAAAAAGCCAGATAACTTGAAGAGTCACTACGATTCAGTGCCTAAAACTGATTTAGGGGCAAGTACAACTACAGATCTATGAGCTACCTTCCACTTCAAAACACAAGGCCAAGAAAAACTGCAAGTTGTTACTTCAGGTTTTTTGCTAGTACACAGCACAGATCAGCTGATACTGCATGTCACAAAGGAGTAATTACTTTTGACAGTGAGGCAGCCAAGCATATGGTGAAGATGTATAACCCAGCCTCCCCTCCCCCCAAACAACTAAAAGGGAAACAATTCAAGCCATAACTCTGAACTGTGGAATTACACCTTGCTGGCAAGGCTAATGAGCAAGAGGTGTGTAGTGCAGGCCTTCCAGAACGTGACTAAATTGACACAGCACAAACTTGAGTTCTTCAGATAGGCATTTTTACATGCCAGAGATCCTGGGTTTCCTAAAGTCTTGGAAAATAGCAATTGCTGGCACCACAACAGATTTAGTAACTAAGGCAAGGTATTCCTTCTATCCTTTTAAACAAAATTTGAGGCAAACAAGTAAGCAATTTTAAGGCACTTTAAACATTATTTTTAGTTTGTTTTACCAACATATTTTATCGGCAACCTAAATCAGGATAAGCAAAGCTCATGAATAAGCATTTCAGCAATATTTTACAGAGAGATTTTTCTGTGGCAATGTTCTCCATGCTATGAAGTGTTCTGTAAGACTTTTCTGCAAGTTTCCCAAAAGAGCCTTTTGAGGCCAAAAATTGTATACTACATACAGTTTGCTTTGCTGAGCTGAAGGCAAACTGTCATATTTCAATTGAGTATTTTGTTCACTTCAAAGCACAGAATACAAGCTCATGGATTTTTTTTTTTTAACAAATGTAGCAAAATAGTTCTTAGATAGGGAAAGGACAGATTTAAGTGATTTCACAATAAGGCCAACGATATACCGCCTAACTCATCCACATACCGTTGCTGAAAACTGGCTGCTCACTGCTGTTTTCATAAACCTGAGCTGATTGTCTTAGTTTTGTTTAGAAAACCAAAAGCTAATGAACTCAAAGATACAGTACTGGTGAGTAATCTCTGCACTGTGTAGCAATTTGAGTTTTCTATGCAGCACAATAGAAACAATGCCATTCAAACTAAAAGAACACAAGAAAGCAACACTATACACTTCAAGATTCCAACTGAAATGCACTTAATTTGCTTTGTAATTCAAGTCCCACTGCCATGACTATTATCTGCTATCAATGCTATTTTTGTCTTGAGTGCCAATTTCCAGTCAAGTCAGAGCTAGTAAGACAGTACTACAGATCATCCCAAAACTGATGATCAGGGGATATCATCAGAAGCTATGCATTATGTGCTACCCACACCATTTGATTTTATCTCTACTTCCGTTTTTCCTGTGGATTTATTTTCACAGGTACTCAAGTCAGTCCTCATTGGAGATGACGTACCTTTGATACTCAGATCATGTGGCTGATCCAGCCAAAGGCAAAAAAAAAAAAAACAAAAAAAAAACAAAACACAACAAAAAACTAGCCTAAACTATTTGGCTGAATAGATTTCCTTAACCAGTTCACTGCAAGGTGACACAAACCTGAAGCCAGGAAGGGGAGAAGGGAAAGAAAAAAGATGTAGCTGTCAGTCCCAGGATTACAGCTATCCTGACTAGGATCAAATCAGGAGATCCTCCAAATGACCCTTAATTGCTCCTTCAGCAAGCAGACATACAGGAGAGTAATAAAGAAAAAAACAACCCAAGCTTCTGAAATGAATTGCAACAAGTTTTAAGAACCATTTGAATAACAAAAACATCAGGATTTCCCAAACATCAGGATTTCAAGTATAAATGTGAGCTGTTGCCTTTTTATACAGGGAGTGAACTGAATTATAGCATTAGTTTTATGGTTGATCTTTGTAGGCCAGAACAAAAGGTAAACAAGTCAAAGCTTCTGTTTGTGCCTGAACATCGCTGCACCATACTCCTCACTCTAAAACAAAATCACTAAGGGACAGTTATTCTAGGGATTTTTTTTTTAACTGGAATGCTCAAGTCACATATATTCTATATTCCTATGTAAAGCAAATACTTAAAAGTTCTATTTAGCTTTGAGATAGCTGGGACATGTTTACAGCCTACTGAAATTTAGTCTTTTAAGGCACTAATATTTATTTCCCCATTAGAAGGATTATTCCTACATCCACCCTCAACATTAATTGGAAATGGCATAGGAATTCTGTTTGGAATGAAGTATTTTATGAGGCAACTTTTATTCTTGTGTTTAAAAAAAAAAAAAGGTTATGTTATTCTGTTAAGACATTGTCTAATTCTACATTTTTGTCCATCTTTCTAGCAACACACTGTAAGAGCCATAAGCTACTATAAATGGTATTTCACTCCCTGAAATCAGTCACCAGTAATTCACATCTTAACAAAACTGAAGGGATACTGTATCAGATGTTGTTTCAATTAGCCTTCAGAAAAAGTAATTTTACGATTGTCTACTGGACAGTGTTGCCACTGAATAAGAATCTCTAAACATTCTACATTTGGCATATCAAGAAAAGTCCCACATCAGCAGCCACTAAAGGAAAATAAAACAGCCATAAGAACCCATGCAGCATATTGCAAATAATCCTGTTGAAGAGATTCATATCACTTCTTGCCAACTATAATGTTGCAAAAATATTCATTTAAAGTCTTCTTTTAGAGATTTAAAGGATATTATGAACTGCTGTCTTCCACGAGCAACAGAAAATATTTTGGTTCAGTGAACTACAGGTGTTGGGCTACTAGTCCATTACCAAGGGGCAGGTCCTAAAGCGTGTGGTAATTTCGGTCTTTAGATCTGCAGAATTTGTACAGAAAGAAAATAACAGCCTGCAGACCCAGAACAAGGACAATTCCACCTATGAAACTTGCAGCATCAAATGTAGATTTGCGTGGAACAGGTACAGGAGCCACAGTAGTATCTGAACCTGTTAAACACCAAATTAGAAACTGTAAGTGCACAATGCCCCCAACAGTTTTACAGATTTTAGTGCTCGATTCTTTGTATTAGGATTACTCAAAACATCAAAACACCAATAAGAAAACAAAAAAAAATCAAAAGTGAAGACATTACAGCATCAGTATTTAGATTAGTGGTACTGAAATTCTGATTAAATGTTGTTTGCACAAGGCTAGAACTATTTATAGACAAACTGCTCTGGACCTCAAAACTGAGCAATACCCAGCTGGACTTTACTTGTATTTCAAAAAGACAAAGCCTTTCTCCTTTACATAAAGCACATTATTGATATGCCCACATTCAAGGCATATTTTCCAGTCGCTGCTCCATGTTCCATTTTTTTCTCGCTTAAATTTAACATAAATTGTTATCTTCCATCTACTGGACCCAAGAGTTATGCTTAAAAAAACAGCTGAAACACAAATACAAGTCTGGAAATAACAGCCATCCGCTGATGGGTTGTTTTAAAGAGTTCTACTTTGTGAGAGCTTTTCATGAAATGGCATGTTTAGGACTGACTTGGAAATAAAAAACTTCAGCTTATTCCCATCACTGTAGCACAATATCATTTAACAAAAACAAAATAAAAGCATTATTATGGTGCAAAAAAAAAATACCACCTCCCAGAGACAAGGGAGTTAACAAGGGACTTCCAACCACACTATTAAAATCATCCAGCTGATCTCATTTGACCAACATGTTACTGACTTTCTCTATCTCACCAATTAGCTCTGTTTCTCAGGCTAACCTTGCTACTTGCATACACCACCCTAACAAAATTAGACTTGCCATAAAGTTAGAAGTGACAACACCAGATACGCCAACGCTACTTTAATATTGTCACTTGGTAAGTCTTTCAAGATAGAAATCAGTCTTGCTTTAAAAGAGCTAAGTAATTTATGCTTTAATTATGACAGTTGTAGCAGTTACCTGCAGTAGTGGGTGTCATGGTAGCTGAAGTAACGGTAGGTTTAGGCTGAGGAGCATGAGTAGTTGCATTGGTGACGTTGGCTGTTTGAGAGAAGACAGTATGTATACACCATAAGCTCCAAAGAAAAGTCTGCAAGCACTGGAGTTCCTATACAAATGATTTCTCCTGTTTTGCTTTAACAAGGATAAGCTTTGCCCTCAGTCTGTATCCCACACAATTTAGGTGGTGAGCTGCATGGCATTAAGCCAAGTTTCTGCAACAAGGATTATTTTCAGACTTGCGTACTATTGTTATCCAAATATTTCAAGGTTCTCCGCAGATCAGTGATTCTTTGTTCAGACAAAATGAATTTTCTTTCAAGCATTCATATAAATGCTGGTATTTGAACAAGAATCAAGAGTTCTGCTTCAAGACAAACTGAGAATCTTGCATCAAGGCAAAGGACTTTAATTAAACTGTCAGTAGAACCAGTTAGTATTACTTGTACTAAAAACTATTTAATGTAATACAACTAGACAGGAGACACACTCTTTCTTCTCCTGACCTCAAAGAATGCCATCATTGGAATAAAATCACTCACCTAAAACAAAACTGTCTCCTAAAAACTTCCATTATTAACCTACATAATCTGGGTCTATGGCCTCTTCCCCACCCCTAAAGATTAGTATTACTAAAAATTCATCAGTATTCCACTCTGAGCCTGGGACAAGTGTCAACATTTGTGGGTTTACTCAAAGCTAAACATCACCCTACTGTACATTAGGATGTTCTGAGCCTAATCAAGTACCAACTTGTTACCTCCCACCTCCCTTAATCAGCAAGTTTTTAAAGATTAGGTTATTTTTTTAAAAAATACTTTAATTGTAGAGATGGCAGAAAAATTTTTGAAAAAACCCAAAAAACCAAACTCTTAAGAATTCATGATTAGCGGCAATTACTAATTCAATTACCACTGCACCAACTTCTAACACAGAAAATACTTTCCACCAACATTACTAAGAGTTTTCTAAAATCCATTTCTTCCAAACCTTGGAACCATTTATGCATTCTGCACACCAGATTTTTAGCAGCCAAGCTACTACAGTGAACTTTGGAAGAAGCCCCATTCCCTCATGTTATTCACCAGTTCCTAGTTTCCTGCTATTCTGAGTTCAGTGCTACTGTATTACCTATAGGAGTAGGAGCTGTGGTGGCAGAACTGGCTGTGGTAGCATTGGAAGACGCTGTGGTTGCATTGGAAGAGGCAGTGGTGGCATTGGTGGGTGTTACAGTGACATTGGAAGATGCCGTAGTAACATTGCTAGGAGGAGAAACTGTGGCAGCTAAGAAAAAATGAAGAGTTACATTAGAGATGTTAATGCTGGTATTGAACTAAAAAACAACCCAACAAAACAAAATCAGCAGGCATAGCTTTAGGAATTTCATACAGCACTGAGTTCTACTGTAGTTTTAGTTTGAAATTACAGAGCTTTTCAATCCACCATACTAACATCAAAAGTTGCATGAGTGACTACATGAAAAATCTTGTCACAGGCAGCCCAATCAAGCCAGCGTTCAACTGGCAACTCAAGATTCCTCAAAGCAAACCTGAGCGAGAAGAACCCTACTGTCCAAGCAGAAACTGCACATGCTTTACACAGGAAACTAGGTATAGAGTACTGCTTCTCAAACTCACTGCAACTGAGACTGAACCTGAGCTATCAAGTTCAACAATAAATAAGCGTTAGTTAGATAACTGAATCAGAATGGAGTGAAAACCAATCAAGAATCTGAAAGTTTAGCTACAGTTCCTGTTCTGAGAGTTGTTGGATGTAGGTGCTGTCAGCTTCAGTACACATTATACCAAAAAAAACCCCTCACAACCCACAAAACACAGAACTGAGAAGCCTCCTGCAACTTACTATGTTACCAGCTGTAGTGGGTTGATCACACATAGACAGCTTATCTAAACTGATACATCAGCAAGCCTCCTGCTGAAAAAGCATGATGCCCAGAAGTTTTTAATGCTCAGGCTCATTCTAGTGTGGTTATTTATATCTTGAGCATAATTCATCAGGGTGGGAAATCAGAGGTGACTGTTTCTACAGAGATAAGTTGGATACATCAGAATCTACATTCTCTTGGCTCCCACTTTCATCTAGGTAGTTCAAGGCCACCTAAAAGGCTGCCAATGTTCTTCCCGTGTCAATCCCTTGAGGCAGTGTTGAGCCAAAACAACTGCGATTCAAAAAGGTATACAGATTTCTCTCACACCTACTTAGTCCCCTATTTGTTTCCAATTATTGAAAATTTATTTCCTTGAATTTGCAGAAGTTAAACACAACTGGATAATGTCAGCACAAGTTTAACAGAACAGACTGCAGAAACATTTCTCCTCAGATACATTATAACAAGGCATTATAACAGCATGCGGTCTTTGGAAAGCACTAAAAACCAGTTCTTTCAGCACTCCTGATCAAGAGGTGATTGTTACAATTTTAGAAACAACACACAAGTCCAAGCCAAAAGGAATTATTTCTGACTGGCTGTCACCACCACAAGATAGCCCAAAGCAGCATGGAAAATTCATCTCTGTTGGTGTCAGCCAGTCTCTTTAACAGAACTGTTTAATTCACCTAGGCAAGATTATTCAGTGTTTTCATTTGCTGTTCTAAATCTTAAAGCCAGAAAATCCTGTTGTAAAGTTCATTTCTTAACAGAATTTAGAAAAACTGAAATGGGGGGGGGGGGGCGGCTTCACAAAAGTGAAATTCAAGATCTTATCTAAATTATACATATCCTGCAAAACTGCTTTGCACAACAAGCACAAAAGTCTGAAGTAGATACGCAACTGAGCACATTCCTAGCATAAAGGATTTATCTTAGGCAGTTCTATATCCTGTATTTCAGAACTGCATGAAGATTTGAGCTAGTTAATTAAAACTGGAAGGTTCATAAGCTCTTCCTATTTACTGTGTCTCAGATGACTTAGCAGGTTACTTTTTTTGTTCAATATGCAGCTTACTGCCTTGAAGACACTGACAAATTCCTTGGGATGTGCTGTATCTAACAGGAAACACCTACTTTAATGTAAGAAACCAAGGCAGTAGCCAGATGTGTTAAATGAAACATATCAGGCTTCCTGAAACAGCAAGAGAAAGCATTTAACTGAATGCACAATGGAGTTGTATATTTTAGTATCACATATCATACCTTTAAGCAGGAAGCAAAGTTCTTATTTACATACTTGTACGTGCTTATATAAATTGTAGAAGGCATCTCAACAAAAGGCCAACAGACAAAGGAGCTCTAAACACAACTGCTTCACATTAAACCACGTGAAAACTGAGTATCTAAACACTTACGTGAACACTGTGTTTCAGTTTTACATTCTTCAGGCTTAGATTTTGCTGTTTCATTGTGACATACGGGTTTTTTATCTGTCAGAAAAGAAGAGACAAGATATTATACAGTAGCTGAAGTCTAAGGTGCTTGAGACATTGTTCCTAAATAGTAATAAGCTGTTCATAGGACCAAACTAAACACCATCTGCTAGCCAAGATAACATTAAAGCCACTTTAATATACAGGACTTCAGCATTATATTAATAATACAAGAAGTTTTAGTGTTTTCTTTCACTAGTTACTCCCTCACTGAGCATTTGGGCAGTATTTATCATACCTTTTGATGTAGCAGTATAGCTTGATGTTTTTTCTTTATAGGTGATAAAATCAAACAGTGTTTCTACTATTTTGTGGCATTTTATAAGTCAAACATTTTGCATGTCTATGGTAGCATCATAAAAAAAAATCTTACTGTCTTGAAAAATTCTACATCCAAGCAAAATTTTGTTTCAGCTTTTCAAAATGGTCCTTGACCTTGAAATTGTTGAAGACATCAGTTTCTTATTCTCTGCCTGCACATAGTTCTCCCTCAAAAAAATTACACAGATCTCTTGGGCTTTTGCAGGATGTGCCTGGTGGTCCAACACCACATGCAGAACTAGAAAAATAGAAAAACTAGAAACTTCTTGAAGGGCAAGCTGAATCCAAAATTGATTTCATTAGTTCCAAAACAACCCAGCCTTCATATATAATCCTTCTTGGTCACCTACAATCAAGTGCTACAAAAATCATTACTGCAGTCAAGCCATTGTGTTTCTACCTCACATAAGATGTACTAATAATCCACCTGAGGACTGCTTATGTAACCTTTGTATGATTTTGTCAACAGCAACCTCATCTTCTCCAGGACTGAGTACCAGAGGTCACCTAAATGCAGTTACATCCAATTCACCTACAATGGGAAAAACAAGGCTCTGAGACCAGCTAATGCTTCTCTGCCTCTGTCATGCTCCCTTCAGTGGGGCGCATTTCTAAGTTTTATGAACACTGCTATTAACTACTCTTATTTAATGAATTCCTCTCCCTAACTGTACTTCAGTTCAGGAGCAGCAGTTGTGACCACCAGGTGAAGCACAGAGCCATGCCTGCATCACAGAATCCACTTGTGGCTCCCTAACAGCAAACACAAGTGACTTGTTTGTCCTAAAAACATTCTGAACCACCTGGAAAACATAAACTTATCAACAGCACAGGTTTAAATCAGAAGCCTTAAAAATTTGGGAGTATTTTGAACATGTTAAGCATCTCAGCTTCTCAGATGAAGACAGATGAATGACTTGTGTTACAGACAGGTCAGACTTGTGTTAATGCTCCTTTAGGTTGTAATCAACATCAGTGTAAATGAAGCAGGTCTAGCTGGGTGTAAGGCTCTGCACGGTGTTGAGGAACCCATTCAGTGCAGGCAGCTCAGTGAACAGCTGCAGTGAGAGCTGCAGATTGAGCTCTGTGGGGCAAGAGAGGCAAAAGGCTGGGATCTGCAGATCCTTTACATAACCAAGGACATGGGGACCTGTAGTCCAGTCAGGTGACTGGACACAGAGACATGGCAGGGGCTGATGATCCTCAGCTTTGGTCCACAGACTGGGAGGGTATAAAAGCCCATGGACTCCTCCATTGGGGGTCCTTCTTGGAGGCACCTGCTCGAGCTGTTTTTGTGTTACTGCACTAGGAATAATTTGTTTTATAAAACAAGACATTTGAGACTCTGTAATGGGAAACCCGGGGCTGAACCAGTGAGGAAACCTGGTCTGACTGGGTGTGAAGGGAGCTAAGCTGGGCACCCGTCGGGTCACTGGAGCCACCCACGGCAAAGGGCCCTCAGTTCTGGCAGTGGAAGTCTCTGGAGATATGAATGTGACTGAAGGGTCAGACATGGAAGTTTCCTTAACAATGGCAAAGTGAGGATCTGCACAGCACAGTCCTCCTTACCTTCACATTTGATCCACAGGCAGCCTAAATTTGTCTTATTAATACAGGAATTGCAGTCAGAAATGTTTCCACAGATGTCTAGAAAACAAAACAAACAAACAAAACAAAACAAGAAACCCACATTGATTAGAACACTGTCAAAAGAGCAACTTCACCCACAGAAGATAACCTGAGATCTGTACCCGCCCACATGTACATCTCTCAGGTTAAGGCGCAATCCTCTTCAGTGAGCAAAGTACAATTTAAAGAAAGCTACAGCTTATGAATGCTTTTGACAAGAAATAAATGCATTTCCCTCCAGATACTGCTGATACTCTCAAACCAGACCCCATATGTACAACATGATTTTGCCTTATGCAACCTCTAACTATGGTAAACTCAGATAATGGAGCATACACTACTCTAGCGAAGATACTGAAGTCCAGTAAATTAATTTTGCAGTTAATTGAAGCTTCAGATGGTAAGTGCTTGTTTCCTTTTGATTACATTTTTCTTTTAGGTAATGCAGCCAGCTATAAATAGTGCTACAGTAGAAAGCAATCAAAGTATGGGAAATAAAGACAAGAACCTGAAGAAATTAATGTACACATGCATGAAAAGGAGAGTAGAAAAAAAACTCCATCTGTTCGTATTTTGATCACGGCAGAAGCCAGAAATCTAACCAGTCCAGCTGCTTTTTTACATCAATCTCAGTCAAACATTGTTACCTTAAAACCACAATGACAACACATCCACTAACTCAAGTTAGTGAATCAAGTAAGATCTTCCCTCCATCTACACATTAGTTTTACCACATTAGTTTTAATTGAGACTTACTCATACAGCCATCATACTCAGCAAGCCCACATACAACCCACAACTCCTTCTGTTGCATGTTCTTCAGCACATTTCACATTACATCCACCCACTCCAGGCACCTTGGGGTGACCTTTCACTTTTCCCCATGAAAGGAACGTTGCTATCCACAGATCTTTGGCAGTCAGCACGCTCATTTACCTCTCAAGTAACAACTACAAATGAACTAACTTCAGTATTCTGACAATCCAAAGCAAGCCTGAATCCACACAGCCTTTCTCTTGGTTATGGTAGGATCAGGTCAGAAAGGCTGGCACTATTTCTTCCCTTTCACACAAGAAGAGATGAAAAGATCTTTGTGGGTTTGCATGAGTGAGGTGTGCAACAGCTGCCCTATTCCCTTCAGGAAGGCAGCACTCAAAGCACTTCAAGAGCTTTATGACTGTTTCTCGATAACAGATTTCAAGGGGAAAAAAGTCAGTCAATTATGGTGGGTATACATCTGAGGAATGACCACAGCACACACAACAGCCTCTGACAAATGAACAATCTTCACTTTTGTAGATTTCTCACTGGTATGTGGAAAATTTAGCACAGTACATCTGTTAAGATAGGAAGACAGCCAGTAGAGCCAACTTACACCAGGTACACTAGGACTTCTAATTTAGCTCCAACACAGCCTTCCCAGACAAACATAGGGGAGGATCAGACTCAGATCATCAGATGTTTTTATCAATTAAAATCAGAATCTGCAGCAGGGTCTCATTGTCCCAATGACACCTCCTGCTGTGAAAGACTCTGGTGGGGTCTTTTACATGGGATAACAGCAAATTCCCCAGCTCTCCCCACCAGCAGACGCCTGTTCTTCAGTGACCAAAAAAAAAAAGAAAAAAAAATACTCTGATACCACGAACTCAGCTTTTCAGCTGACGTTCGCTCCCAAGATAAACCCGCTGTACTGGCTCTCGCACAGCATAAATTCGGATACTCCCCTTACACTCGAGGAGGAAACCAGGAACCACTGGAGGGGTCTGTCCTGCCGGCCCAACAGCGCCCTCTCCCGTCGCAGAGGAGCGGCGTGTTAACCCCTGGCGGAGCAGCCCGGGAGCGGCGCAGGCTCCCGCAGGCTGTCCCGCATCCCGCCGGCGGGGCACGGCTGGACAGGGGATCCCTGCGGGCTGCAGCAGCGGTGAACGGGCAGCGTCACCCTCGGCTGCACCCAGCGCCACTACGGAACGCGGCCAGGGAACACTGAAGCACTTCCAGACAACTTTTTGTTATTTTTTGTTGCTGTCTCCTTGACTTGGGGCTCTATTTCGAGGTTCTAGGCCCCGCAAACACTCTGGCAAACAGCCCACAGGGCCCGAGCTGTGGGAGACTGGGGGCAAACTCACGGGGCGAGTAACGGGGCTCACACCGGGATAAGGAACACGCGGCAGCAGGGACAGAACGATAGGGCTGAATCGAGGCACCCGCCGCTCCCAGACCCGTTCCAAGGGTGCAAGAAGCAGCCGCGCACAATTCCCTGGCACCCTCCAAGGTCCCCGGGGGTAACGGGTCCCGGACGAGTACAAACAGGACAGCGGCCCCGCAGCGCCCAGGAAGCAGGGCGGCTCCGGAGGCTCCCGGGGCTCCCGGCAGAGATACAGCCCCGGCGGGGCTCGGTGCGCGGAGCCCGCCTCGCTCCCCACAGCGCCGGGCATGGGGCGGGGCTGCCCCGTCAGCAGCTCCCGGAGGAAAGGTGGGGGGAGGGCGCGAATCACTCACCGTAGTCGCCACTCGCCTCTGCGATCGCGGCCAGCCCGCAAAGGCAGCACGCCACGGAAACGACGACGAGGGGGAACGTAAGTGTCCTAAGGGTCCGACTCATGGTGGCGATACGGTGAAACGAGAGGGCTGCTGCTCCCGCTGCTGCTCGGCGCTTCCCTGCCTCGCTCCGCTGCCGCCGCCCGCCCCGCGGCGCCTCACGTCACGGGAGCGCCCCGAGCTGGCCCCGCCCCCGGCCCGCTGTGGTTCCGCCTGGCTCCTCCTGCCCCCCCCATCCGGCGGGTAATGGAACGGTCCGCAGCGTGGCGGCGCGGCGCTGCCCCCCCCACGTGACCTCGCCGCTCTCGCGGGTGGGAGCTCTTCCCGCTCGTCACGCGCCGGCACGTCACAACGGAGGTCCCGCCTCCTCCCCGCTGGGCCCGCTCATTGGCTGGGGGCAAGGCGGGGGGCGGGGCAGGGGAGCGCGGGCTCTCGTTTCCCGCGCGCGGGCGGTGCTGGTCCCGGTCCCGCGGGCTGGGCGGGCGGTGTCGCTTGCGGGGGTCGCGGTGGGCGGCGGGGAGGGAGGTGCTCCCGCCTGCCCACGTCGGCTGCTGACCCGCTCCCGCGCCCTTCCCCCATTTCTGCCGTGACGAAACAGCGAATTGTACTTCAATTGTTTTTCAGTGAATCGCACGTGAACCTTAGCAGTCGGCGTGCAGCACTTGAAAAGTGTTGTCCAGCCGTGCTCCCAGCAGCACTGGGGCCATCGCATGTGGAAGCTCTGCACACTGGGAGTTTGTGTAGGTCCAGGCTGAAATGGCTGCAATAATAGAAGGGAAACGCGGTAGAAATTGTAACCTGTGTCTTTACAGCTGTGCTGTAAGGAGCGCTTGGAGAAGGCTCCTTGGTCATCCCGCTGCTTCTTTTTGTGGACTTGGCCGTGTCAGGTTTTCAGTTGGACTCGATGAAAGGATTTATCCAACCTGAGTGATTCCAAGAATCAGTGATTCCTCCCGGACCACTGAGTAGAGTTCCCCCTATGCCTATCACGTTTTTCTGTCCTTTGTTTTTCCCTAAGGCAGCTTGAGTCTATACATACCATCATCAGTGGACTCTGCAAATAAGCTTGTTTGTGTAAATCTGCCTCAGCATTTTGTGCAGTGAGTGTGAATGTTGGGAAACCAAGGCAAACATTAACGTGTGCTTGTATTCAAGGAAAGCTAAGCTAGATCTATAAAGCAAATGTTATTGTGGTCTAGGTCAAAGGACAAACCAAAAGAGTTATAAGCAGGTGATTGGTTCTTCTAAGTGTGAGCAGGACTTGGGCAGTAAAGAGGAAACTGCCAAATAAATCCCTAGCTTAACCTTTCCATTTTACTTTTTTTCCTGAAGGTGTTATATTGCCAAGAGCCAAAAGACCAATACAAACTCAGAGATTTTAAAGCAAGCTACCTATCATGGTTACTGTGTGAGCTATGGAGGGGGCTGTAGGGCTGCTGGTCATACATAATTTGGGTACAGAGCTTTCTGACAAGGTTCTGTACTGTCATATATTGTGGTCCTTTCTGCTAGCCTTGCTAATGCCTTGCCTTCCTGCAAAGAAGTCTCAGGGAGAAAACATAAAAGAAAGGTCTGCAAAGAACAGAGAGGAAGTTTTGTGATATGAACTGGAACCTTGTGACAGCTGCATTAAAATGACCAAGCATGTTCTGTTGTATATAAATGTCAGTAACATCAGAATTTAGTTCTAAAATGTGATAAGGAAACAGAAGTTGCACACTGACTCTAGTTATCTCTCATTCTCTGTTTTTACTGGAGTGGTAATGTAAAATAATTTAGTTATTTTTACAGTATGATGAAAGTTTCTGGCCTTTTAATAAGAAATACTTTTCACATGAATTATTAAAATACGATATTTCTGTTCTACCTTTGAATAAATTGCAGAGCAATTAAAAATTAAAAATAAAAATTGCAATGTAACCAAAATTGCAGGGAGCATGGAATAAGGGAATTTTCTATAGATTCCACTCATCCTTCCTGGCCATGCCTGCAGAGATTTTTATGTCCTTCTGGGACAAGGGTCTTCAGCTTGGATCAGGGCTTGATTCAGAGTGTCTTGAGATTTCACTAGGCATGTGGTATTGTTTGAACTTAGGTTTTCTTTTTTGCACGTCTTGTGGGTTATAATGTAAAATACATCTTCAGCAGTTATCAGTGTTTTATGAGGGATTGCAGTGGCAGTTCTGTTGATGTGCTGGACACATGAAGGGTAATGGTTGCTGCAGTCTGCATTTCATCAGGAGTACATACTAAAAATCTCTTCTTTTGAGAAAGTAATAGGACAGTTAAGTTAAAAAAGATAAAAGACAAGACTTTAATCCATGTTTATGTATGTGGAAAAAGTGGGAGAAAATGAAGTACATAAAAAAACCAGAACTAAGACTACCAGCAAGGGCAAGAACATCTCCACAAGCGAGTGAAAACATGTTTATCATTCTGGGGGCTGGTGGGAATCCAGGGAAAAGATAAATGTGGCTTGTCTGTGTTTTCTTATAGTCAGCATCTTGGGACTTTGTTGTAGCAAACAGTCAGCAGGATCATGGCAGCCTGGGTTGTTGTTGTTGGATTTAAAACACCACATTCATCACTGGATTCAGTTCTCATTGCACTGTTATATACTTAGTGGTTAGTAAGGCATTTACCTCTGTTTTGAATCTATAAGGAATTCCAAGCACTGCATTACTGGAAGATTATGTAAAATCCTTGACAAAATGGGAAAAACCTAAGAGTCTGCAGATGCCCATTTTAGGGAAGCACATTTGGAACATAGGAAATGCCCAGGATTTGGAGCAGATTGTGTTGTATCAATTGGTGCTTGGCAAGATGTGATAATGGATTGAAGAGATTCCACAGGAGCGTACAGCAGTTTGGGATGACAGCGGTAAATGAAGAACAAAATTTAGTCGATAAACTGAAGAGAATGTCTATTTCCTTCATTTTGTAAACATTGGTTCTCATTTCCATATTGTCATTTCAAGTGCATGGAAAGAGAAGTGCACGTGAAGTGTAAATACGTGGTGCATGTTTTAGCAGGGAAAATGCAGCATCTACGGAGCTTTTGAGGTTTTTGTTACCATTGCATAATGATGCATTATCGCCTCCTGGTGCCATTCACCAGACTGGAGAATTGTTCAGAAATAATACGTTGACTCCTGTGCCCAGAGCTTTGTGACCTTTGTTCTTGCATCGTGAGGCAGGTATGGCAGTAAATCCTGCTGGAGTGGTGTGTCCAGCTGTGGCTGGATACAGCCCCAAGGCACATCCAGGGTGGTGCATGCTGTATGACACCAGGGGTGCATTTAAGGTGCCTGTGTGCCTGTCCCCAGCAGGAATTCTGGGTGAGGACATTGGCACCTTACTGTACAAGCTGCTTGCCTGAAGCAGATGCACATTTGTGTGTTTGCTGTGTTACAGGCACTCACTCAGCCCCACCAGGTGGGGTGGAAAAGGCTGCTTTTAAATAAGAAACAAAGAAAATAATGGACAGAGTGGTTAGTGATAATAAAATAGTGTTGAAAATATTTTCTTAACTCTTTCAGAGACGATAGAGGTACAGGCTGATGCTTTTAGCCTAAGGCAAGCCAGAGACATATCTTGAGAAGAAGAATGGAAGGCAACAGGCAGAGGTAAGACGGACTGGAAGGAATAAACCTTTCACCTGTGCAGCTGCAGCCAGCCAGAGAATGTGGTCAGGCTGATTTAGGTGATCACAGGAAAATAAGGCTGTTGTTTAGATGGAGTTCTTGCAATAGTACATCAATTTACTGTATTTTTAATGTGCATTTTTTAGTTGGTGATAGTGCAATACGGTGGTAGGCTTTGGACTGTGTCAGGTCAGGAGCATATTCCCTAGGAGTTTAGCTGTGTCCTCAAGGCTGGCTGTCTGATAATGAGGCCTTGGTCAACCTGGGAGTTTTTCAAGTGAAGGAACTTCAGGGGGGTCTCCACAACTTTTTCTCAGTAGATGTTTTTTATTTCTGAGGCTCTTGCATCTGGCCACTGCGGGAGATGTAACACCTGTGGGCTGCCTGTGCCTGCCCTTGGGTCCTACTCACCTGGCATCTGCTCTTGCTGTGCCCTGATGGCCTGGACCATTGCTTCTTCCCTTACAGCAAATGAGGTACAGGCACTATTGAGCCACCCGTTACTGTCTCTTAACATCCTAAAGCTTATCAGAATTACAGTATCAAGATTTTTTCTATGAAGTTTGTAAAATCATTCCACTTACCCATTTTCTTTGTGCAGTAGCTGTATTACATCATTCTGATCCATATGATGTGCTGCATAGTTAATATTATCAGTAAAGTTCTTTCAAAACCAGTCCCTCTGAATACTCTTTTTTCCTCCCTGGAACTGGTGGCAAGAATTACAGCTGGGGGTCAACAGTGAATTAGTGAAGGGTATCCTAAGCAATAAACTATGTGAAGGGCAATAGCAGAGAGCTGTAGCCATGATAGTCTAAAACGGAAGGTGAGGCTGGTCTGTTGGAAGGTGAAATATGTTGTCAGAGGTCTGTCTGATACCTTGAAAATGGACATACACGTCAGAGATCGGAGGGCTTCCCCAGATCCGTGTGGAGTACCTACACAGCTGATGAGCCACACTAACAATTTCTGCTGGCTTTAGCAGCCCTCCTGGATCAGGTTCTCTGACCTCAGATTAGGTAAACTACCTTGTAGATAATGACTTTGGCCTCCAACTTTTGTCTCATCAGTGCTTGAATAAGTAGGGGGGAATGATTGGAGCCTACAGTCTGTGCTGTATTAACACAATGTCCTTGTGCTTTTAACACACACGCCTTTGTAAAGAAAATTGGTGAGAAGTCTGAGGGCTTCTTTCATCACTTTTCATTTAGAGCAGTGTTTAAGAGAGTGTTTTGCTGGAGTAAGAAGCTCAGCATAAAACCCCAATAAAGCAAAACTTGAAAGATACCAGTTTTTCTTACAGTGGTGACACATTACATAAATACAACACTGTGTAATCCGGTAAGATAATCATTTTCTCAGAATGCATGTTGCTGCCAGTTGTTCTTTATAGAAGGGAGTTGTTTTATATGGTTGCTGGGAAGGGAACTTCTCCAAACCCAGCAGCTGACAATGAAAGTCTTCATCTCCCCATTTGCTGACTGCCCCTGAATTTCCCAACATTGTGGAGACCCTATG